CTTTATATCCTGCTTTATCCATTGCGGTCATTGTACTGGAAATGATAAAGAAAATGACTGCCACTGCAGCCTGACGTCTGTGCCCTCCCTCCCTCTGTCTCTCTTTCTCCCAAACACACACACTCATGGATGGGATTATGCTTTAGTGCTTTGGCTTAATGAGAAAGCCTGTGCGGATGGGCAGTGGGGTGATGGTCACGTGTCCGATCCTTGTACTACCAATTTATTCCAACAGAGGGACCAATTTCACTGTCTCTCTCACCTCTGTTCCCTCCTGCTGCCTCTCCCACTCACAGTTGGATTCAATTTTGCAGTTTAGTTGGCATTGACTTTTAACCTTCCTTTCCATTTAACTGAGGCCTAATTTCCAAATTCAACTGTGAGATTTATCCTGAAGATACTCTTTGCTGCCCTGTATGTATCTATAATGAATAATATATCATAATATTATTAGGAACAGATAACAAATGGACAGCATGAAGAAACCCTCATAAAGTATTAGAGAACTGGTAATGTGATTAAAAATATCCCACTTTCTTCGAGAAGTGTATCGAGGATGTATAGTTAGATTTCATGCTTCCCGTGACCACACCCACGAAAGACAACCTTAATTTCCTAAAATACTTGCACTTAATTTTGTGAGACTGGTTTAGGTCTCTGTTTCTGCTGTCTCTTCTAAAAGGGGCTGTTTGTCAGTTTCTTTACTTCAGTGCATCTTTTTTTAAATCAATATGACAGCCTGCAGACATCCAGTCTATTTTCTCCCTCACCTTCTCTGTGAAGTAGCGTGAAGAAAATTGAAAATAATATTTGTGCCGCGTGTCATTATACCATTACTAGCGCAATCCAGAATAAAATGTGACTGCTGTCACCCTGCACGGTGACAATAAAGCTTTATGATTTTGACTAGGGTAGCATGGATTTAAATACTTTGGGCCAGCAATTGTTACTTATGAAAGTGAACAAAAAATGTCTGTCTTTTCTGTAAATGCAGCTCTTAATGAACCTTATGTGTGAACCAGTAGGTGTAGTCTGTCTAACCTCTAAGAGCCTGCATGCTCCTTTTTTTTCAGTCAGTGTATCTGTTGATCAAAACTCTTGCCAGATCTTAACTGTTCCCTGACATTTAAAAAATGAGAGGAAACAACAGCAAAATATGCTCTGACATTCATTCAGACAAAGTAAATTTGTCCTTAGATAGCATTTATGTTTTTTTATACTTGTGTCTCACATGGCCTGTGTGCAAGCATGTATGCCTACAGGCTTAAATGCCCTTTAAGTTTGCATGGCTGCCTCTGTCTATGTGTTGACGGAGGGAGTGATAGGAGTCATGCTTCATGGTAGCCCAGCCGTGACCCATGTCTCTGTAGATCTCTGTTGTAATCTGACTCACTAAAATGGGGGATTCCACAGAAAAGACTCTTAGGGGAAGTAATATGAATGGCTTTTAGAGTGGCCGCTTACAGTATTAATGAGGTTGAGGAGAATGTTATTAATATAGTGGCCATGTTGCATAATTGATGGAACGGGGGATGTTAATATTCTGACAGAGAGAATGAACTAAAGGAAAATCTCAATGAATTACCTTTCTTACTCATATTTGTCATATTCCTGCATGTGTAAAGCTCCTGTCTTTTTCTTACCCACTATTTTAGTCTGCAAATGGCATGAGCTGTTGTGTTTCAACTTAAGACCCCAATATGCCCCTCAGCCAGCCCTCAGCTGGAACAACGGCTGTCTGACAGAGGCACAGCTGGAGATGCTTCAGAGCAGAGATTGGGGAAAGCGAGAATATTTAGGCACTGAGAATAAAATGTCAAGGGTTGATGGAGGATTGATGAGTAGGGATGTTCTAACAATCTGCAGTTTTTAAAAGACACAAATACAGTAAAAAAATACACACAAATTAGCCAATTAGGGCCTTGAAATCAGTATTTATTGATGCATAACAGGCATCTGTCTGCAAGTGGGATATAGCTGATAACTTTATCTCCAGCACCCTTGAGTGAAAAATGAAAAAAAATCTACAGCTCAGAGGCGTGCAATTAACGCCAAACTGATGGGTGTATTTGAAGCAGGCAGAGGTATTAGAGAGCTGCAAGATAGTCTGTGAAATGCATTGAAAGAGAAGAAGGGGTGAGGAGGAGAATGAGAGAGACAGATGCAAAGGTTAGGTGTAATCCAGTTCTGTGTTTGTTGTTGATGAGATAAACGTTGCCTGTCTTCGTGTTTGTATCATCGTCAAACACGGAGGTTCAGTCGTCCCACCGGAAAAATCCTGCTAAATGTCACGGTTAGTGCGGCCGATCGTACATGTCGTTCCCTCTGAGACTGTTAGCCTCTTGTTGAGAGAAACCATGTGAAGAAACCTTGTGCTCAGTGAAAATTGTTGGGTTTTTTAGTTTTGAGATTTTGGAAAATAAAGCATGTCTTCTTTTAGACTAGTGAAGAGAAAACAATAAGAATATACAGTTTGTCTAATTGGGTCTTTAGATTTCAATTATAATTTATATCTTTAAATGTCATTTTCTCCAAATGATTTTTTTCCATACTCTGAACCAGAACCCTCCCACTTCAGTAGCACTTGCATATACCAAACCTTCTAGTTTTATTCACATGTATTTTATTGTGTTTTTTACACAGGGCTTTGTTCATACTGGCCATGTCCTGATTTACTGAGCATTTTATTCCTTAAAACCTGAAGATAATAGTTTGGTTTTTTTTTTCCTGGCTGTTAACAATATTCTTTTGTTTTATAGAACAGATACCCCCTGTGTAAAAACCTTTGACTTCAATATGTCAACATAATGAAGCAATTAGTTGAAAACTCTCTTTATCCAGTTTTCAGATTTCTGGTGTTGTAGTTAATGTAAATTACTGCACCTTTAGATAAATAATGACTTGTTTGCATAGTTAAACAGAAAATTTCAGAAAGCTTGTGAAGAATCCATGTCTTATTTTAAGTAATCAAGTGAGGACGCTTTATTGTGATATCTATTTTTAAAAAGAAAACAATAAAGTACACATTTCACTTGTAGCGTCTCCAAAGGTTTTGCAGCTGAAAAATAAGTACAAATATGACGTCATTATTTTCTTAGTGGCACACGCATTACGTGCGCCTTGATATTATAACATTAGTATACTACTCAATTGTACGCATAAGCTTGTTTTTCTGCAGAAATGCAGGCTACTGTGAGTACTCTGTATAAAACGGGAGTTTTGTATGTAACATTTGGCTGCGTCTCCAGCTCCCCACTTTCGCCACCTCCTCCTCGTTGCCTTGGAGTGTGAAGAGTCGCTCTCTATCTACCCATCTACTAGCAGCATCCGAGTGAGTCACTGTCTTCTCCCTGTCTCCCGGGATGCCAAGCGCCTGTCATCGCCGTGGGCAGACCGGGCGTGGGTGAGAGTGGCAGAGCACCGTGGAAAGGGAAAAAAAGATAATGTGGGCGGTGTAGACGCTCAATTTGGCCCAGTGGCCGTCGTGAACCAAGAGGATTCAGGGCTTCACAAGGCCACTTGTTTGAAGAGTTGTGATGGATCACGTCAACGGCAACACGGTTTTAATGTCGGTGTTCTCTGTTCGGATAATTGTGGTTTGGTAGCTGTAGGCTTCTGTGACTTATGCTATGTGAAGTCATTAATTAAGGATGTAGCGCTGGCAGCAGAGGGAAGCAGTGTATGTTTGCAAATATCCTTCCAGCCTGTTGTTCTGTGAAAGCAAATACTACTGATGTGGTTACTCCAAAACAGTGTGTGGAATGGGGTCACATCTGGAGCGGCTTGTCTGTGACCCGGTTCGCGACGACACCAGTGAACAGCTTCATGACATCATGGGCTTTGTGTTTTTACGCGCGAATGAACCTGCGGCGCACAGGGGGCTCTGCGGCACCGATGTTCCAATGCGAGTGGAAGTGCAAAACATCATCAGCTGTCACTGTAGGGGCAGAGTGATCACAAAGGAACAGGAAAATGTATTTGTGCGGACAGAAGCAGGCACAAGGTCAGATCAGTCTGATGGCGGTGTTAAAAAGGGGAGGGGACCGACACACTCCCCACACTGCGACTCAATCCACCTGTCACCTCCTCATGTCCCCCTGGATCTTTGTTTTGATGTGTAAAACTGGGCATTATATAAACGTGTATGAGTTTTCATTATGCCCAGTTTTACATGGAGAGCCCACGCAAAAAAAAAAAAAAAATCTCACAAAACCAAATTCGCATGCGCTCTTGCACTCTTAGCCAATTCATTAGTCTCTTTTTAATTCCAAAATATTCTCCGCAGTAGGTTTGGCTACAGCGTCCATGAGTTATTATGGTTTTGCATCAGTGACAAAGTCTAATCGGGAGGCTGGTTCATAAATCAGTTTTCCAGTGCACAATGAAAAGGGCGGTGGCACTGACAAAAAAAAAAAAAAAGAGGGAAAACGATTGTGCCAATTTCTCCCAAAAATCAGCGCACAGATGTCACTGGCAGCTCCATACGGCGCTCAGATTTGTAGAAAAGATGTATCGATAAAACTCCAGCGGTTTGGTCTTTTGGGGGTTTAAATTCTATTAGCTGGTGCTCGATCATTTCATCGGAGGTGCTGAAATGCAGCCAGCATCCTTTGAGCGAGAGGCTCTCCCTCCCCTTTTGCCCACAGACAGCATCGCCACATCGCAGCGAGAGAGAGAGAGAGAGAGAGAGAGGGAAGGAGGGAGGGAGAGAGAGAGAGAGAGATCGGGACCAATAGGCAGCATCAGTGAAAGGAGTCAGCCTTGCTAAGGGGATAAGATTAATTTAAAAAACATCACCCAGACAGACAAAGGAAAACATGGATGCACAGGAGATTTTTTCCTTTACGCAGGCACCGGAGAGGATGCGGTGTTTATCCTGCACATAGTCGGAGTTATGCACGGACTATTCCCTCGTTTTTAATGAGGCGGGTGGGGACCCACAGCAAGCTGAAAAGGCGGAAAGATTTCTCCAACCCGTCTTCAAATTCTGCCTGCCTGCGATGGCTGTAACGGCGCGATGCTGTTACAGTGTAAAGGATAATGTGCCTTTTTCTTTGTATTTGGTTCTATTCGTCCTCAGTGGCCTTACAAATGCACAAATTCGATACTCCATTCCGGAGGAGCTGGAGAACGGGGCTCTGGTCGGTGACATTGTCCGAGATTTGGGTCTGGATCTGAGAAAACTTTCCACCCGACGCATCAGAATCACATCGGACAGCGGACGGAGATATTTCACCATAAATCACAAAACCGGGAAGCTGGTGGTGAGTGACCGCATTGACCGAGAGACAGTTTGTGAATTCAGTGGCACCTGTTCGCGCAACCTGGAGGTGGTATTAGAGAACCCGCTGGAGGTGCACAACGTGGAGGTGGAGATTTTGGACGTGAACGATAACGCGCCACAGTTCCCTCGAGATGAATATCAGCTCGAGGTGGCGGAATCCGCGCTCACTGGGTCGCGGTTTCACATCGAGGGAGCTCAGGATGCAGACGACGGCTCCAACTCCGTGAAGCAGTACCGACTCAGCCCAAACGACCACCTCGCCCTGGACTCCATTAAACCATTTTCCAATAATAAGCACATCGAGCTCATTCTCAAAAAGCCCTTTGACCGGGAACAGGTTCCCTCTCATCAGCTCATCCTGACAGCTATGGATGGAGGCACCCCACAGCGAACTGGCACGGCCAAAATCAATGTCCGTATCCTTGATGCCAATGACAATGTGCCTGCATTTGACAGCTCTGTGTACAAAGTGAAACTGTCTGAGAACTCTCCAAAAGGTGCACTTGTAATTAAGTTAAATGCAACAGACCCTGATGAGGGCCCCAATGGAGACGTTTTTTACTCTTTCAGCAGTTACACACCAGAGAGAGTCAGACAGATGTTTTCAATGGACACAGACACTGGGGAAATTAGAGTGAAAAACAATATAGATTATGAGGAGACCAACTCACACGAAATGTACATACAGGCAATGGACAAGGGCCCAGCGCCTGTGGCAGTACACTGTAAAGTAGTAGTAGAAGTTTTAGATGTTAATGACAACATTCCTGAGATTGTGCTGTCTTCACTCTCCAGCCCTGTGCGTGAAGATGCCCGGGCTGACACAGTGGTAGCATTGATCAGTGTGAATGACCGTGACTCTGGACCAAACAAACAAGTAACCCTGGAAATCATGCCCCAATTGCCTTTCAAGATCAAGTCCTTCCGAAACCACTACACCATTGTCACAGCCGCCTTCCTGGATCGAGAAGCCATCTCGTCCTACAATGTCACAGTCAACGCTGTGGATGGAGGCACCCCACCCCTGTCATCTCAGATGACCTTTAAAGTGGACGTTGCGGACGTTAATGACAACCCACCTCGTTTTGAACAGACATCATATACAGTTTATATTACAGAGAACAATGCTCCCGGTGCATCTCTGTGTGTTGTCAAGGCCACAGACGCTGATGCTGGAGAAAATGCTCGCATCACCTATACTGTGCTCAATGACAACAACCACGGTATCCCTGTAGCCAGCTACGTCAGCATCAAACCTGACACAGGTGAGGCCTATGCCCTGCGAGCCTTCGACTTTGAGAAGCTGCGAGAGTTTCATTTTCAGATCAAAGCCCAGGACAACGGTGTGCCACCCCTCAGCCGTGTGGCCACAGTGTATGTTTACATCATGGATCAGAATGATCACGTGCCCAGAATAGTCTACCCACCCGCCAATGGGAGCCGCACCACAGAGACACTAATGAAAAACGCTGAAGCAGGAGTGTTGGTTAGCAAGGTTATGGCGTGGGACGGTGATGCAGGGCAGAATGCATGGCTGCTTTATGCCCTGGAGCAGCCCAACATGGACATTGATCTGTTCAAGGTGCATGAGCACACAGGTGAGATCCGCACCACAAGGCGTGTCATTGAAGATAACTCCACCTCCTTCATTCTGAGCGTCATGGTGCGCGACAACGGCCTCCCGCCACTCTCCTCCACCGCCACCATCTATGTGCATGTGATGGAGCTGCCTCCAAAACTGACCCCTGACCCCAAGCGCATTATCAGGCCCAACAGCCCCCTAATGTTCTCCAATGTCACTCTCTACCTCATCATTGCCCTGAGTGCCACAACCTTTGTATTTCTAGTCACTGTCTTTGTGCTGGCCATTGTCCGTTGCCATGCCTACTGTACCCAGCCTGGTTCCTGCTCCCCGTGTTGTGTGTCCAAGAAGAATATGCCAGAGGGGGGCACCGCAGCAGGTGGCGGTGGAGGAAGAGCTGCAGGTGGAGGTGGAGGTGGAGGTGGAGGAGGACAGCCGAACAACAATGTTGCCCTGCGCCGCGACCTCAAAGTGGAACCGCATTATATTGAAGTGCGGGGAAATGGGTCTTTGACCAAAACGTACTGTTACAAGACGTGCCTCACTGCCACGTCAGGAAGTGACACTTTTATGTTCTACAACACTGGACGGCCTCACAGTGGCACCTGGGGCTCGGGCTACGTCACCAGCCACAGTGGGCAGAGCCAGATATTTGTACGGCGTCTCAGTATGCCAGATGCAACTGCTATTCAGGTGTGTGTCAGCTGTGATGTTTGTATTTGTTGTTTTAAATTTCCTCACAACGATAAATGACTCGCAAAGCACAAGCCATAAAAGTACGATTCTTAGAGAGTTGTCGTTGAGGCTTTGCTCTAGGGCGGTGTTCTTGCAGTAAGATTGCAGTTGACATTTACAGCTGAGGAGCTGTTGAAGCCTTTGATCTGTTCTTCCGCTGTGTGATGTTTCAAAAAATATGTTTTATCGCTGCTTTTTCACTTTGTTTTTCTAGTGCGAAAGTGGCATATGAGCACTTATTCAGCGCTTTGGGGGCGGGGGGGTAGAAATGTTAACACCTGTGTGCCACTCCCAGGATTTGCTAAGCACTGTAAGTTCTCTCAAACTGCCTCTTGTGATTTGTGTCTATCAGGGTGAAGACATGCAGAGAGATACATATTTCAGTTATTACTTTTGCAGGGTTTATCATTTATCTTCAGGTCTGTAGTATGCATGTGGGTAGCTTCTCTGGATTGTGTGGTTATTTGAGTGGGTGTGTGGGCACATTCTAATGTGTTAGGCAAAGTTTTTGTGTGTGTCCTACACTTGCCAAAAGACCACTTGTTTAGTGATTCAGGGTGTAAAATGATAAAGATTGTTTGTCCTCTACAGTACGGAGGATATAACAGGTAGAACAATCTGTCTTTCGCTTTCTCGTTTATTGCTCCCTGTTACTATTTTCTCTTCAGAACAAACTAGTGGATTTTTAGAGCTTATTCACCTATGACCCCGCACAGCCTGTGCTATTTGTCAGCAGTGGGTCGTGTGCCACAATCTTCAAGTCCAGTCACTCCAGAGGGCACTGGCTGGTCATCTCTAAAGAGAGAGCGAGAGAGAGAGAGATTCTGGGAAATTGTGCAGCTTTGCAAGCCACAAGGACCACCAGTCCCACTGCACCAAAATATCTTCTTCTGGTCACGTACCTCTGTGGTGCTGAACAGTAAGCCAGACTTTGGGAATCGGTGAAGAAGGCAGAAATGAGGCAGAGACTTTGTCTGAGTTTCATTTAGATAAGAGCTTCATTTAATGGTTTCATAGCATTTTTACTCATTTGAAAGGTTGATAGCACAATACACAGCGTTGTTTGCATCATTCCAGTTACAGTAACACAAACAGTATTAATAAGATAAAGCAGACAGTATTTGTTTTCTGATAATCGTTTTTGCCCCAGAGCCTCCTCTGTGAGTCCATCTGTGCAGTGCAGAAAGCCTTGCAGGAAAAAATATGTGATTAAAAAAAAAAAAAAAAAGAGGAATCAAGAAATGTTTGAGGTAATTATTCAGTTGTCAGTTGACATGTTCCTCATTAAATGCCAGTCATGTTTGTTCTTGCTATGTAATTAAATAGCAGGGATGTGTTTTTCAGTGCTGTGTGTGGATTGGCTGCCTCTGCGCCGATGAGGCGGGGGATAAAAGGTGATTGGCCACAGTGTTGATGGCGGAGGTGTGAGCTCTGTATCCATGCTAGGAGTGCTCACTCAGGGGGAGAGGGAAGAATGGAGGAGAAGGCAAGAAACCGTTGACCAAACAAAAAGCTTTTTTTATTTTTTATTTTTATTCCCTGCTTTACAGTGTACTGTCGGGCAATTAAAAGAATACACTAAAAACCCTTGGGAATCTTTTTTTTTTTATATTTACACTTAATTTGGTTTCTTCCTGTTTAATGATGAAACAAAATGCATTGATTTCTCATTCTCATGACTTTTTTTTTTTTTCCTTTGCTGTGTTTGTTTTTGTTTGCATTTACTGTGTGAAATTGTATTATTCTTATTTTGCGTGTCTGCCTTCCCTTAGGAGTAGCCGTCATTAATCTGCAGACATGTTTAGGTTCCAGATGCTTCTATCTCGTGTGTGTATGGTCTAGTGTGTGTGATTTCATTTACCCCCATAAACACCATACGGCCAAGCAGACCAGTCTCCCTTTGGCCATTGCCGTGCAGGGCAAACATTTAGCAAAGCCGTTTAGTCCCATTTGTGGACAATCTGGTCTTATGTTGAGTGGGTAATTTATTTGTTGCCTCCCTCACTTTCTGTGCATTATGTAAAAACTAGCTTTTGTTTAACCAAGTGTTTATTGCAAGACTAACGTCTTTTTCTTTTCAGCATCAGTCTAAACTAGTGTTCCACCTACTGATTGCCTTTTTGGTCAGCAATTGTCTACATATAATCAAGTTCACTCTCTATTACCAGTATGGGTAGATGCTGCAGTGCTCTGTATCCCTGTCGACGTTCTGCTCAGTTTGAAAGACTCTAGGAGTAAAACCAGGCTCCTCTCATTAAGACCAAATATTGGATTTCAAGGGTGATGAATGTCCACTGCAGACTCATAGAGGTCAATGCAGCTTCAGCAGCAAGTGAACATCTGTCATATTTGAAAGGAAATGGGATTGCAAATGGGTCTCTGATGAACTGCATGGCCAAGCAAAGGGAATTTAGTATCTTCAGTCAAGTTGTTTTAGCTCTGTCGGTTGTTGAGGTTGAGATGAGAGAAAATGGCAATCTCATCTCAGTTACGTGGTCAGGTTAACAGCCCATTTTGCTGCGCTGTGAGTATGATCTTACAGGGGAATCTCAACCACTATATTTCAGCCCTCTAACCACATTTTTTCAGATTTTATGATGCCATATCTTTTTGTGCTTTTAGTAATAGGAACTTTGCAGAATACAAATACTAAAGTCTCATTTTAGGGTGTCACTAACAAATTGAATTATTGGCCCATAGACAGAGGTCGTGGTGGTGGGGTGTCCTGTTGCACTGTCTTTTTTAGAATTGTCTGAATCTAGGTGCAGAGGGAGTTAATCTGATATTTCCCCTCCCCCATTCTTCCTCCACCTGTGACCTTCACTGAACTAGAATGACAGAGGGCGGTGGGTGGAGAGTAAAATGTAGACTGGGCTCTGCAGTTACCATGGTGAGATGTGTCAGACTGACTCAGACAGACTATGTGCCAGTGAGACTCAAGGTTTTGATCAGTGTAAAGAGGATGTAACAGGGAGAACTGAGCAGCAGGAGAGCAGAGTGGGTGATGACTGTAAAGATGCAGAGTGGAGGAAAGTAGTTGGGTTTGGTGAGAAAGAAAAACACAGCAATTGTTGAAGGTTGTCAGAAAAACATTAATAAGCACTGTGGAAAACATGTTTCAGTAAGTTTGTGAAGACTGATTTGCACATTTTGAAACATTTTGTTTGAGTGGAAGAAGATGGAGAGGAAGAGACAGCAGCTATACATTTGAAATGAGTCTGTCAGTACATACAGCACCATGAGAGCTCTACAATCTTTCTATGGTAATGAACCTCGCCACGACCAGCCCAGTCTGAGAGGATGCTGTTCAGATATGTAGCTTGAGGTCTTATGTGTCACAGTACTTGGGTCAGCGGGCTACTGCCTGGAGTGAAATCTTTCAAAGTCATTTGTTTTTCAAAGTCATGTGTGGAAGTGGGGTGGGAGTGGGAGGAGGAGGAGGAGGAGGAGAGGGTGTGGGGGTGGGAGGAGATGAGTGCACCTACAAGCTTCGATTCATCACTCATTTCTCTCTGAAGACAGGGGCAAGCTGTCACTGCTATAATTGTGTGTGTGTGTGACTGAGTTGGTGTATTATTGTGTGTGCGGCGCACATGCACCAGCAGTTCTCACCATGACTTATTAATGAGATGGTATTGGCTTTCGCCTGTACTTAAGACTCAATTCCTCTCGCTCTCTCTTGCAGCCCAAGGCGCCGAATGCAGACTGGAGATATTCAGCCTCCCTGAGAGCAGGAGGTGTAATGCAGAGGTAAGCATCCCATTTCTACCTGTCACTTTCCTCTAAGTATCTCATCACATCTCACGAGTCACTTGCATCATATTTTGTTTTAGAACAAAATATATGTGCACTATTGTCCCAGCTAATAAGATTGAAGCAAATCCTGCATCATTTTGGGACTGATCTGAAGCACCACCCACCCTTCATTTCGACTGATTGCTATCTCAAATAAGTTGTCACAATGTTTCATGTAGCCACCCAACACAAGTATACGGTTGATTCTTGGAGCCATAAAACACATGGTCAAATACTGTACTACTGTTTGAAAAGATAAAATGGTGTGCACGTAAAACAAAAAGATTGCAAAGTCATTCTGCTGTCAGTTTAAGGGAGTGGTCCCGTTGTTCTGTTGCAAAGGCCAACAATATTAATTTGTTTTCTCTGTCATTATTGGTCCCCCTCAGAATGCCTGTTTTTTGTTTTTGTTTTTTTACGTATGTGTATACACATACAAATTTAACATTCTTTTAGACAGAGTAGTTTGGTGAAGTGATTGTAAAATTAACTGAGTAATCCTTTGTTTTAAAAGATAAAGAACCGTTTTATGTGCCATTGCCTTTTAGGGCTCCTGAGTTGGTTAAGCCTAGAGAACTACTTGATGCATATTTTTTGATATGATTATCGAGTCAGTTATCTTACTACCCAGATCAGACTGTTCCTTAAATATGATTTTGCTTAACTAATAGAAGATATGTACTCTGATGGTGATGTTTCTGTTGAAAATCTTTATTCTTTGTGTTGATTTTGAGTTGACATTAAGATCTGTTGCATAGTCTGATCCACTCTTGACATTTGACAAAATCTTTCTTGGTTGGTTGAAGCAGAAAAAAGCAACATCAACATGAAAAGGCTACATCGTGTCCCTGTTACATGTCCACCAGGTACAATGTGTACATGTCTTCAAAGGCCTACCCATCATATGCATTGTAGCCCAGACCACAAGCCAGTTGAGGCATTTGGATTCATTCATAGGTCTCTTCCAGGAAAGATGTCTGACATCATCTTTGCTGCAGCTGTTGCTCAGCTGTGGTGGCAACACCAAGGGGGAAGGGTTGAGACTTTGCATTCATCATTTCCAAAACACTACAATTCCATTTACATGTGTACCGTTATTTCTATTAAACAGAATCTATAGCTAAGGTAAAATTAAAGAAAACCCTGAATGTTTTACATTTGATTAAAGCATCTCATTTAAATGAGTAGAAATTATTACACTTTTAATGATACACAGGTGAATACAGAAGTGAATGTGATATAAGAGAGGAGAGACCCAGTGAAGAGACATGCAGAAGGAAACAGCTCTCTCAGTGTTATCATAGACAGATGGAGAACTGACAGGAGGGAAGAGTAAGCAGAGAGGGGGTCAGTGATGTATGAAGGTCGTCAGGTGGAAAGATGGCATATCAGGGACATAGAGATTGCTGCACGACTACACCGGTGGTCATATTACCCATAAGACATTGTGGTATTACCTGCTGTGGGACCAAATCAAGAGTCATGCAAATGAGATGGCACCATAATTACAAATAGACACAGGTTTAATGAGGTAGATGAGTTATCGCCATCTTCCCATCATATCTATCTTATCTAAGTAATCTATTTAATTAACATCTTATAAACGGTTGGCCATTTACAGAAAACAACTTCCTCTCCAAAACCTATGTTATGAAGAATATAGGTGATATGTCAAATGCATAGTTAGAATATTTGCACACACAATTTATCTTTGTCGCTATGGCAGTGTTATAGCAGAGACAGCCAAAGACATGCTCAGAGAGAGACATGGGTCTCCTGAGGCCCATTTGTACATGTACATGCATGTCGTAGCATGTGTTAATTTATACTGACGAGTCCTTTTTTTTTTTCTTTTTTTGGCTTGAGTGCTACTGACCCATCTGTAACCATAATGCAGTGCCTGATATCTTTGTCTCAGTGCATATGCAACCTAAACCATGTGTGCAGTTCAGATATGTTTTAAACAGAACTTATATAGATACAAATCGCATGCTTTCATTTGTTCACTCTGATGTCCAAATCAGATTAATAAAAGTATGTCATTCATGTTACACAGACTCCCTCATAATTACAGCAGATTAAGTAGAGTTAATGTGCTTGAGTGAACCAGACTAACATATTAAATCTTTATCGTGGCTCACTCCCTCTGATGTGTTTAAGATTGGCTATCACCCATGTTCCATTACCAAACATCACTGAATATTCATCTGTTTATACAGTGACATAATCAGAGCTTACAAACACCATGTAATGGCAGTGACCTATTAAATTTAATTTAATCTCTAGTGGAATACACAATGTTTCCCCCTACTTCCATTTTTAGGAGGTTGTGTTTAGGTTTACTTTGTCATCAAAGTAGTTATGAACTGAAACAAATACTTTTAATCGTACAAGAAAGTTTTAACACTGAATTGATGCATAAGTGTGTGGATACAGATAGAAGGATGAAGATGACTGATGAGGAATGAGGAAGAAGGACTGTCATTAGCTGGAAAGTGTATCATCTGTCCTGTATTTTCCATTCATATTTAATCAGTGTGCCCTGATGATGCTGGTCCTTAGCGGCACTTAAAATGGCCTCCGTCACCAAATGACTTCTCCTCCTGAGCCACTATACATAGATCTAGATGAATATGTGATGTAAAATGTAATTTCAACAAATTTTATCAATAATAAACAATAGACTTGACTCTTGCTTACAAAATTGTTTTCTCACTAGTTCTTGATACAGGTTCAAGGCTTTGATGGAGACTAAAAGTTTCTTTTTTCAAAGATGTGAAATTATTTTCAATGCCTCAGAAGCACACAAATTAGTTCACACAGTTCTCAGTAAACTTTTTAACCTCTGTCTGGAACTAGTTTTACTGTTAAAGGTGGTGGGGAGACGAGAAGACAGATGGATTAAAGTGAAATTGCAGCAGATCAAGATTGAGAATCACAGTAAGGCCTTAGTATAACAATTTAAATAGGTTTATGTATATTTCTGTATGTAGTTTATCGCTATTTGCTTGAACAAAAAAAATCGAGATCAAGACTTCCGAAATCTGCTGCTAAAACCACAATAAGAATCTGATTGTAGGAAACTGTTAAGTGAGCTGTACAGCCAAATCACAGCGGAGTAATTTCATATTTCTATCTGTCTTGTAGGATATCATGTTCACGGTGTAATGGCTCGTGACCAAGCTTCTAAGTTTGAAAAAGGCTCTGCCATTGTAGGATTGCGCAGTGACCCTTTTTCAGAGACACACTGGTTTCACTTAAAAATCTCATGTGTTTTCTTGACAATATTATCCTTCTCTTAAAAAAAAAAAACAGTCAGATGAAATAACTATGGTTTCTATCAGCATTCCTCTTCCTCCAAATGAATGTGAGTTTTTTTTTGTTTTGTTCTGTTTTGTTTTTTATATGAGAGCGTGCTGAAATGCCACATAGCGAGTGTGAGAATGTAAGAACTGCCATCTGTAATCCATAATCCACAAAATGTCAGGAAAATGTAGAGTGAAAATTTTAATCCTAATCTGAACATAGACTTTCTGGGATTGTATTTGCTGCACCATTAACCAACCTCTGAATCTGTATTAGTATCTAAGAAACATATGGGGATGAGAGAATTGGACATATAGGATCTTTTACTTAGGATGTACTTATACTATATACTTTTGCTTTTAGTTTAGTCATATTAAACTATAGACTTCGCCAAAACAAAGTCATGCTTATAGATGCCTTTTGTTGAGCAGTTTAAATCAACACATCTAAAATCAATCTGTACTGTATGTGAATACTTTTCTGGTGTTTAATATGTTCATGTGTATTTTTTGTGTTTCAGCTCAGTGCACATGGAAGAGTCCTCAGTTATGCAGGGAGCCCAGGGGGTCCTGGTTCAGAACTGGCCCACTGCATCCAGTGCTGCAGGTAAGAACCCATCAATCTACTATTACTTAAACCAAACACAACTAATTTAAACACTGTCTAAAGCACAGGGGAAAAAAAGAAATTTCAATGACATGAGCTATGTGCTCGGCACACATGGACCTGCAGTCCTGAGGGTCTAAAACAGAGATAACCATTCACAGTTATATTTAATAATTCTGTGTCCATCACATTCCTTGACACAGAGAACACCAGCAAAGACTAACATATAACCACAATCCTCAAGAGCTTATCAAACCACGAGAGAGTAATAAAATGAGGAAAACAGAGATATCGGCTACAAGATCGCCCGACCCCACTCCTACTACTTCCCGCTGCTACAGCAAGAGGAAATGACATGTGCTACGTAGGTGGAGATGGATATCTCTGCTCTCTGTAGCAGGAAGAGAGACAATTCAGAGAGGGAGAGAGAGACACAATAGTTGATTGGATTATCAGCAAGATGTTTATGGAGGCATAAGCCACTGAGCCACAGAGGACAAACATTAGAGAATACATTAGAGAAGAGTGATAATACATAATTACATTCTCTCTATTTTTAATGTGGATCTCTCTCAGTCTCTAGCTCTTTTATACACACACCCAAGAAGATCAAGATGAGGGGTGGGCAAAACTAATTTTCATTAATTATATTTGTAGCCTTTTCGTGATAACAGACAATCTGGATTCTGTACATCTGCACATTGTTAAAGGCATAGCACATTTTAATGTTGTTTTGTAGTGATAGGTTTTAGTATTGCTTTCATGTAGGAGACATATCGTGACTGTTTTGAGATGGACATTTTGATTGCAGTTATTGAAGTCCCAAATTTGATTCAAATTCAAAGTGTTTTATGATAGTATTAGCAGCATTTTTGCTGTGAAACATCTGCATGCAAGTGATGCATTGTTCTTTTCAAGTATGCAGAAATACTGCAAGAGTGGAACAGACTTGCAAGGTGAGTTTCCACCTCACTTATAAAGTTGCAAGATTTATCCTTATTAATACTCTCAATGGCACTTAATGGAAAGAAAGAATTTTATTTACAGACAACAGGACATTAAACAGTTTTGGACATCTGGCCTTCGTCGGGTTGGAGAAGACCATACGAAAGCACTGCAAAAGAGTTTATTAGAAAACAGTACCAGATGAATCCTGAGAACAGAAACATTGGTGCAATAACAAAAAAAATCTAAATGACAGCACAACCATTGATAGAGGACCTTTCACAAACATTGTAATGTGAATGGCATTGCAATGGATGACATATTCACTGCTCCTAACCAGGATGTCTGACCAAAGATGAGCTGTTTGCACAGTGGGAGCACCCTCCATGGAGAATTCAGTTGTCACTTCAGGACTTTTTTCCCCATGATGACAGGGAAGTGGGGTCAAAAAGGATTAAGAGTAAAACAGAGAAAAGAGTAGCCTGGTAGAGAAAAGGGGGGAAGACAGGTGGAAAACTGAGACGGACGGTGGAATGGGAGGACTGGAACAAGGACGAAAGTGCAATTAAATTTAGATAAAGAGGTGATTTGTTGTAATTAAGAATGTAGGGCTGGCTTGGCCTGGTGTCTTTTATAGACAGGAGGCGGGGGGCTCGGCAAGCAGACAAACTACCCACACAGTAACTACTGTCTCTTCCTATCCACACTCACGTACACACAGCCTCCTCCGCTCTGCCATCGATTTCTTGCCTTGGCTGAGGATTTACAGCCTGCAGGCACTTCAAAACATGAGAGAGAGAATGGAGAGAAAGATGGATAGAAAAGCAGGGAGAGAGGGACAGAGAGCCAGAGAGAGAGAGAGAGAGAGAGAGAGGGAGGGAGGGAGGGACAGAGAGAGAGAACAGAACAGACAGAAGTGACGTCTTAAGGGTGGGTCAGTGGTAACAAGATCAACTGGTGAGGATTTAACGTGGTATAATTAAGCTGTGGCAGTTTGAGAACAACACACTGTTTTACACGCTAACCTTGCTTTGCCTGAGGGCTAACTGACCCTTCTTTATCTCACTGTTGACTAGGTTAAGAAGGGAAATATTAGCTGAGGGCTCGAATAGCTTCAAGTCAAATTTTAGGGTTGGGGTAAGAATAATTCAAGATAAAGAGTGTCATATTCTATGAAAACATTTTTTTTTCAAGAGCTGCCTTACTGAAAGACAAGATTAAGGATAATTTATGTTCTGACTTTCAAGCTGATTCTGTTGTCATGTCTCAGTAACGAGAGAAATTGAGATATTGATTCGATGTGGCCTGTCACATCACAATGAGTCATAGGCATAACGCTATTTATACCAATATCATCTTGTTTGTTTTGCAGACTGTAGTCTTTAGATGGGTTTGTTGAGGGAATTATTTGAGTCTGGGTGCTGTACCTACAGGGTGCTGTCTTGGCGCACAGTCTATTTTTCGCTTCACTCAGAGGTACAGCTGACAACGCCCCTGTTTCTTCCCCCTCTATTTAGAATCTGCAGATTTGTGCACTGGCATCAGTTTGTGTGTCTGTGTCGTTGTTTAGTGTTTTCGTGTGTACATGCCTGTTTGTGCTTGGCTGTGTTTCCAAGTGTGTTTTGGCTGCCTACTTTGTGTGCTGCTCCTGCTGTGACAGATGGAGCGCAGCCCACGCCCAGATTAACAGACCCACATTAATGAAATCAGGGTTCTGCTTGGTGTCTGCCTCTCTCTTCCTATCTGTCCCTCTCTCCCTCCATGTCTTCGTCATCTGTCTCTTGTCTTTAAACCAAGTGCACAGAAGGGTTTAGAGACAACTCTGCAGAATTTCAACAATTCCCTCGTGAGATGAGAACAGAGGGATTGGAGGGAGGGAGATGGGAGGGTTGCGAAGAAAAAGGTTGATAATAAATAATAAGCAATGATGGATACAGTGGATAAGAAGGTAGACAAGGGATGAAGTGTTAGGGAGGAAGTGGCAATTAGTAAATCAGAGTGATTGCAACAAAGTCTGCGAAGGAAAGAGAGGGAGCTGTATGAGGCTGCTGTTGCTAGGGGAGAGTGGTTAGACTAGAGAGGGCGGGAAGGAGGGAGGAAGGAAGGGAGGGAGAGGGAGAGAGAGCTCCCAGCATTATTCTCCATCAGCATAAGCACTGTCACCATGACTCCTACCAATGTCCTACTGCTTCACTAGAGGATGTAGTTTCCACGGCAACCATTCATGGCCCCGAATATTGGCAGTAGAGGGAGGAAGGGGAGGGTGCTGTTTTATAGAGGGGGGTGCAAACATATGGTGTGGGACAAAAGGTACCGAAGGAGGGCGAGAAAAGGGGGGGGGAGAAAAAAAAGCAGACTGTAGCATCAGGTGAAGGGCAAGACAAAGGAAAGTAAGATGTACGTACATGAGCAAAAAGCTAAAACAGTGGGAGAGCGTGATAGAGTAAAAGGAGGAATAGAGTATTTGGGAAGTGAGAGTTGGAGGTAAGGGTTGTTAAGGGAAGGAGACAGCAGAGCAGTGAGTAACAGGAGGAGAGTGACCTACATTCACTGGGGCGGTGGTGTACTGCAGAGGTGGATGCAGGTTTACGATTTTCTGTATCACCCTCCGTCTTACACGCACACACAAACCGAAACATTCGAAGTTAATGGCAATCAACTGCAGCAGGCGCCTTTTAAAGCAAAAATAAACTCAAGAGTAAAGGCAAACAGCCAAGTGAGGGTGGTGCTGTGGAGAGAAGCAAGAGGAGACTCTACTTAGGATTTATGCTGCAGTTTGCTCGTTCGGAATTTCATCATATGAACTTCTGGGATCATAGCCTCATCAACTTACATGTTCTTGTTTTTAAATCCTATCAGAAAAGAGATGTGAATTTGGATAAATCAAATTCTGAGTTTGTTCTATCCATAATGAAAAGATAAAGAGGTAGAAAAAGAAGAGGTAAAGATAGACACATGAATAAATTCAGGACTGTTTATCATACTTTGTGGCTGCAGTCTTCCGGTTAAGGTGTGTGTGCTGTGAAAGTATTTTTGGCAAAATCAGAAAGGTAAGGCAGAACAGTGTGGAAGCTACCAGGGACTTTTCACTGTTTCTGCATCCCTCCACCCCATTCCCTACTCAGTTATTTGCTTTCCTTTATTGTCACCCTGCTTTTTGTTCCATCCTGTGCTCTCCGAGTCTTTAAATATCTCGCCAGTTCTCTCCCTCTTTCTCTCTCTGGAGACCGAATCAATTACAATTCTTTTTTTTTTGCATAGCACCTGCACATAATAAAATGCACTGTACACATTCAGATACCCAGATAACAACTCAAACTTTCACACCGACACCAAAATGCATTGTTATTTTTGTCAGTTTTTAATCATCTCACAAGGGACTGCTTGTGTCCACCATCTGCGACATGATCTAGCTGGGAGCAGACAGCAAGGTGTTCAATGTGGCATGAAACCCAAACGGGCATGCATACAAGATTGTATACACATGCATATGTAAAGGCATGATTGCTCTTGAAAGCCTGCAATCAGTCATCGGTGTTGTATTTTTTACTCTTCACTATTTCTTTATTTAATTTACTGTTAGCAGATTTTGGAATATATGGTAATTTATGCAGGCCCCCAAATGTATTCCTCTCTCACCACAAAGGCAAAGCAGTGAAAACACGAACACATGAATAAAATTAGGTTTTTGAGTAGACAGCAACATCGCATTTTGTTTTTATCAACGTGTGCACACTCACGCACTGCATGGCACACAAACAGACACAGGTGCCGTCTTGGATAAGGGTGTGGTCCCAGCTGAGCGTTTGCCATCATAACAATCACAGATTTCTCCACCACTGCAGTGTGGGAGAAAAGAATAACACCCTAAGGATCTTTTAATCCTTTTTTTTTTCTTCTCTGCTCCCACCCTCCGTTTTGGTGGTGAGCATCGTGTTTCATATTCTGCATCCTTGCACTTCCTGGCCCCTCTTCCTCCTCCTCCTCCTCCTCCTCCCCCTCCCTCCTTCCTTTCTTCCTCAACTCGTTATGTAACGCTGCACTGCGCTCCACTG